CCCCCCCCCCCCCCCCCCCCCGCAACCCTCACCTACAGAGGTGGTCACAAGTCAGGACAACACTGTAAAATTTAGCCTAGAAATCCTGAATCCTCATATTGCGCCATTTGTAATACGCCTTACGATGTTAGGAATAATAGATAATAAATAATAAAATACGTCCTGTTTCACTGATATTTGACCTGAGTGTAAGAACACGACAATGATACTTACCTTCCTTGTCTCTTGATATAAAGCCTTGCTCTCCAGGCAGCATGATACCTGTCCCATATTGACGAGGCACTCACAGCGTTATTTCTGATACGACCGCTTTGCATTCCAAGAGCTTGCAGACGAGGCCTTATGATTCCTGAGGGATAATTAACAACTTTTAAAGAAGAACAATTTTAGATTTTATAGGATACACGTCATAATTTGTGTGACCAAAAAAATGTACTTAGCTTTTTTTTCAAGTTCTTCAACTGCAACCATTTTAATCCTTTGTAAACTTAACAATCTACGAGCAGCTTTGATTTATTCCTGCTTATTTGGCGATTGCCTATCTTGGTTGATTTCTTTACCATAGCACAAACTTCCCCGTGTAATGATAATGACTTAGTCGATGTACCAAGCAACTCGTAGTAACTCGAGAGATGAGTAAGAAATTCTAAAAGTATATTTCGCATTTGAAAGTAAACTCTTCTAATCAAAGCATCCTAAACTACTTACCAGGTCGGCGACCATAGAAGCCAACTCTCATTGAGATATGCCCGTACCACGAGACTACAATAATTCTAATGTAACGTGCGCGGATTGGTGGACGCAACGGATGTGTTACAATACTGTTTCTATCGCTGTTGCCACGGAATATCTGAGGAGTCGGATGAAAAGAGTTTGTGATTTAAAACTGGTTGTCTCACTCCAGCAAGTCTGAGCTTTACACAGAGTAAAAAGACAAACTTTAAAAATATTAGGAAAACCGATAAAATATTGAGAGTACTATTTTTTTGGAGCGGGTGTTCTTAAACGCTGCCCTGAGATGTCGTTGCAAGCGCACAAAGGAGTTACTTCCGATTAAGTGTTAAAAGTAAACTAGTATAACTTCAATTTTGCTTCACTGCGCTCTTTAATTTCCTTGCCAAACTGTCATCTCAGACCTGTCTCCATATAATCACTTGAGCTTTCCGGCACTTTGGGCCATTTATCTGTCTTTACTTTGAGCTCTCATTGACTCATGTTCATTGGCTCATCTGTCTTTGATTTAAGTTCTCATTGGCTCATGCTTTAACTAATCGTTGTGATTAGTTTAAAGCACTCTCAGTGAGCAACCACGCTAATTTTGTCTCAATTTATTACACTACTCCGAAAAGCGCTCCACCAAAAAGAATCTTCTGATTGCTCACTTGTAATGCCGTGAATAGCTGATCCCCAAAATAAAAGATCCCAGTTACCATTGCCTTTCTTCTATACACACTCACCTTGACGCGCCCTCCTTTCTTATAGGGTATAAACCGAACTCCGTCGTTTCCAAAGTAAACCTTATAACTTGTGACCCATTGGTTATAATCCTGACGTCCCTGTGTCCTGATCGCCGTAATCAAAGTTGGTTTACCCAGATTAAACTGTAGCCATTGTCGTTTGTCATTCTTCTTTGCTGACCACGCTCCCTTGTTTCGCCCTCGCGCTTTGTTATTAAGTCGACCCAACCATGGGGCGTGGTAACGGTTGAATGTAGAGGAAGAGGTGATGTACCCATTGGGAATCTTACCATCTTCGACACCAACTGGCACCGAGTTACGAGCTGCATTAGAAAGTGATAATATTTGAGTACTGGAAATCCCAAAAGGATCTATAGCAACTTTGAAATTTTCCGAGCGACTAAACAGAGTGTTTTACAACCGTTCTGATTGTGCAGTAAAATCACCCTATCTTTACTCTTTCTTATTTATTTTTCCAAAGCTTCCGACACATTTTTGTGACTTTCCCAAGACTTTTTCCATATAATTTTTTTCATTTTCCAAGCTAAAAGTTATGAGTCAAATTACAAGAGTTGTGCAGAATAATTATTGACACGTATTTATCCCAAGAGTCAAGAAATCCCCATGACGCCGTGAGACGTTTCCGCCTACTTATTCTTTTATACTAAGGCCCAGTTTGCAGTGGTTTGAGAAAAACTTTAAACCTTAGGCCTTAAAAACTAGTTAACAAATTTTTTTATTTTTTAAAGAACTGAACAGATTAGCACGAACGGGGATTCGAGAAGTTCACTCGGTAATGTACTTTATACGAACCTTTTTTCAATAAGGAGATAGTTAACTTACACCATAATCTGGAAATTAAACCAACCTAAATTTACTAAAATACTCACAGATTTTCCTGACATAGAACTCAGCTCTCATAGAGACATGTCCTACCCATGTCCAAGGGTGGATACGCACGTATCGCGCCCTAAACGACGGAACAAACACGTTCTCCTTGATCGTATTTTGGTCTTTGTTTCCTGGGAAAATCTGAAAATGAAACAACAAAACCATTCATTGGCTGAAATTCTACAGAAATCGGCTACGAGTCAAAATGCTAGGAGACTATGATGTTTGTATATGATAAACAGCGAAGTTTGAAATGAAATAGGTTCCGCATTGGATATTGCAAGAGGGAGTTATTGAGACTGAAGTATGATGAAATAAAAATGAGAGTTTTACTTTGGATTAGAAATTTGATTGTTCGACTCGCGGTGGGGATTATATTTCTTAAAATGCTCACAAATTCTTTCAAACGACATTTCAGAAGCACTTGTATGAAAAATGGTACCAATGATAACCACGCGAATTTCCAGTCGAACCAAGCGGCAAAAAAAGATAGAAAAAAGAAAAAAAGAAAACTTGTATTCGCGCGAATAAACACGGGTAGGGAAACTATTTTTATAGTTGATAAAAACTACTCTAGTTAAAAAACAGTTATTAAAAAGGTGTCACATCAATTACCTTAACCCTTCCATATTTCTTGTACCGTATCCACCGATATTTATCTTGACTGTATGAAATAAAGAAGCTTGTCACCCACTGTTTGTAATCATATCTTCCTTGTGTCAACACTTTGATGACCTCACTCGGTCTCCTCAAATCATACTGGATGAACTGACGGCGGTTGTTCTTTCTGGCCGACCAACCTCCTCTGTATCGTCCTGTGACACGCTGATGTAACCTGGCCCTCCATGGCCCGTGGTATTTGTCCCAAGAACTAGAAGCGGTGATGTAGCGCGCTCCGCGCTTTCCACTTGGAATACCGCTGGGTATGACGGGAGCTACGCGAGCTATAGTGAATCAAAAGATAAAAAAAAAAAATTGAAGAAAGTCATAGTCCTAGCATTTAGAGAGAATATCCGGAGCAAGTTCAATTATATCTCAGACCAAGAAATCTACTGTCACATTCGTACTCTTTAGACTTTCCGGAACGTTTCTAGACTTAATTTGATTTCAACAAAAAAAATGTGAAAATTAACATTCAATTCAGATCAATATTTCGTAATTTCACGTTCTTAGAACAATCACTGTTCATCATTTTCACATAAGATAAATGATGACAACAGATACTATAAGATCAGGTGTCAAACTCTAAGAACTAACATTTAGAACAACTCGTGCAAGTCAGTAATGAGAATCACAAGTTATGAGGAATTTGAATGACTGAAAGCTTACCAAGGAGATATCCGTAGAGTTCGACCCTCATAGAGATGTGACCATGCCAACGTACTGGGTGGAATCTAACAAAACGTGCAACGATTGAACGCCTGAAAAAGTTCTTCACAATGGTGTTTCTGTCCTTGGCACCAGGGAAAATCTGTAAACGAAACAATGGAAGACATAACTAACTCATAAAAGTAGTCCTATTTCCCACTTTGTGATCTCTAAATTCATTGTCTGCAAACGCACAAGTGAGACGTTTGACTAAATTTAATATTAATTGCTAAGGGTGTTTTATGATTATTTGAAACCACATCAGATGAAAATATACCTTTGGAGTCCTTCTTTCTGTGTAAAATCGGAAATTAATTCCATTCCTGCTGTATGATATCCTTAGACTCGTCACCCATTGGCTGTAATCCTGTCGACCTTGCACAGCAAACCCAGCCACTCGTGCTAGTTTTGTTATGTCAACACATAGCCACTGAGCGGGATTATTAGCACGCGAAGACCACGCCCCTCTCAATCGTCCCTGTCGAGGTATGTTAAGGCGTGCCCGTTTAGGGCCATGGTTCCTATCCCAGCTCGATGAAGCACTGAGACTTCCATCCGGGATTCGACGGTCCTCGACTCCAAGAGCCAACCGAGTAGGCACTGGTGAGAAGCAAGTTGGCACGTAAAGCAACTTTAAAGTTTAGAAATCTAATTGCTTTTAATTTTGAGCAATAAGGATGTCATTAAATACTGGTACGAAAGAAAAGAATAGTGCAGATTAGATTTAGATGTATCATACCTGCAGTTCGTCCATAAAATTCAACCCTCATTGAGATGTGATTAACCCATCTAACTGGATGAATGCGAACTTTACGCGCCACTACCGCTGGCCTCAATGAGTGCATTACTATCGTGTTTCTGTCTCGGTTTCCTCTGAAATACTTAAAATTGAACAAGAGAAGTGAGCGTCAAATTAAGAGAACTTAAAATGTCTAAAGTTCGGCCACGCAAAAATTGCAAACTACAGAAAAATAATAATTTGATAATCGGAGTAACGAGAAATTTCCTTCAAACTCGAGCGAAACTGTACGAAGGAACTCAGAAACAAAACAAAAGAATTAGAGTCAGCTTTGTGAAATCACAATTTTTTTTCGCTCACAAGCTGCTGCATCACAAACCTCGGTTACTTTAATTCTAAGACTAACCTTTTTCTTTCCATTCTTGCGGTATGTAGCAAAATAAGTACCGTCTACACTGAACCGCAAATAGTACAGCGTCACCCATTGGTTGTAGTCATGTCTGCCTTGGGTTGCCACGGCAACGACCTTCTTTGGGACTCTGAAGTCCACCTGCAACCACTGCTGATGGTTGTTTACCTTAGCGCACCAGGCCCCTGCATATCGCCCTCGCCTCGGCCGTTTAAGCCTGGCTAACCAGGCAGCATGGTACCTATTCCACCGAGACGAAGCTGAGATTGCACTATTGCGGATTCGACCGTTTTGAAGTCCTAGAGGCTTAGGAGCTGGTCTTCTGACACCTGTGGAAGAGGAGGGAAATATAAAGACAACCACAAAAATGCAAAGTAACCCAAATGAGTACTTGACCAAGTCAAGCTCTGATGACTACTCAGTCCAACGAACATCTAATTTTGAACAGATTCCTTACCACTCCTCTGTCCGTAGAGCCCAATCCTCATGGAAATATGGCCATACCAGGTAATAGGATGAAATCGGATGAATTTTGTGTATAGAGGGCTGCGGAGCCTATGAGACACCTGACTGTTACGATCTCCGTTTCCTGGGAAAATCTAAAATGGAAATATACAGGAAATACGTTTGTTTATTCGTATTTCTCCACAGTATTTTCTTTGCTCCTTTCTTCTTTGCAGGAAATTCATTATAATCTTATCTTCATACAGAACTTAAAGTATTCGTTGCAGTGGCTCTGATAGATAGCATCTGTTACTTCCGATTATCACAGTACAAATTTTCACGATTAAAAGAACTGCTATAAGCCTGGACACAAGTGTAAACTTTGATATAGACGGGGTATATGAAAAACTAAGAAGTTGTGAGAGACACACACAGACATAGAAACAGACAGAGTTTTCCTTATGAATGAAAACTTAAAGGTTCAGTAGGTTGATTCAGATTTTAGATTTTATCCGACGTTTAACGATACCTTAACTCGGCCATTTTCTCGGTATGGACGGAAACGGCGCCCATCCAAGCTGCTCGAGAGGCTGTAAGTAATCACCCACTGATTGGCATCCTGTCTACCTTGAGTAACCACACCAGTTATTTTAGTTTTTCGGCCCAGTTTTATCTGTAACCACTGACGTCTGTTATTCTTCTTTGCAGACCACGCCCCTCGGTAGCGTTTGGTAGCCACAGAGTTGAGTCTGGCCCGATTGGCTCGGTGGTAAGTGTCCCACTGACTGGAGGCCGTGAATGCTCTGTTTGGTATCTTGCCATCTTCTGAGCCTATCTCCAGACCGGTACGAGCTGTTGGAAAAAATAAATACAGCGAAATTTAGTAACATCTTTCAGTGGGAACAAACCGGGGGAAAAAATCACTAGGCCTGTACAATACTTACGCAGAGAGAGTCCGTAGAACTCCGCTCTCAAAGACATATGTCCTACCCAAGCAAGTGGATAAATACGAACATATCTCGCTCTTATTGGCGGATCAAAAACGTTCGATTTGACCGAATTGCGGTCCTTGTTTCCAATAAACACCTGGTGACATGATCGAACAAAAATTAAGTAAGTAATTCAGCTTATACTCCATTAAGGGTCTTAAATAATTTTATCATATGGGACAATGAAGTTGTATGCGTCCAGATCTGGATTAGTTTCTTATTACAATAAAAATAGTTCTTTCAAGAGAAAAACGTTTTTACTATACCTGCACTCGACTGTACTTCCTGTAAGGCGTCCAATGGAAGGCATCCGCGCTGTATTTGATAATATAACGTGTCACATACTGATTGAGATCTTGTCTTCCCTGTGTGGCGACCTTCACAATCTTCTTCGGCCGCCTCAAGTCATACTGTATCCACTGTCCTCTTCTGTTGACCTTAGAAGACCATCCACCAATGTAGCGACCACGCTTCTTGTTGTAGAGCCGTGCCAGCCAGGCGGCGTGGTACTTGTCCCAGATGCTAGATGCTGTTATGTAACGGTTGTTGAGGCGGTTGTTGGAGATTCCAAGAGGTTTAGCGACTGGAAGTGGTCCTTTTAGGTAAAAAATTGAGAATCTCAAATAAGTAATTGAACTACAGACCTACTGATTTGTACATAAACGGCTTCCATATCATCTCACGTGTTATTCCAACTTACTCAGATATTTTCCGTACAACTCTATCCTCATTGATATGTGTCCGTGCCAGGACAGTGGATAAATACGGACATACCGAGCTCTGATTGCAGGGACAAGAGCATTTCTCACCACGGTGTTTCTGTCTCTGTTACCGCGGAAGATCTGAAAATGAAATCATCGTGCATGAGAAACAGTTGGAGTTTGTGTAACTAATAAAAAGCGCAAACACTAAACGAAAGTGCCTTGCACTCAGACTTTCATCAAAATCAGTTGCACGTTCCAATTGAAAATTTTGCCTATATGAGCTAAAATGAGGTCAGTTTTACAATGGGACTTTTTTAACCGAAAAGAAATACCGTGTTTCTTTTTCATGCAATTACAATAATTTTTACCCATCGACTAGGGAATACCTTCACATTGATATTTTAATAAATGAGTGGTAGAGAAAAACAAAACATAGTTATGTTAAAAAGATTCTTAACCCTTAACGAGAGAGACTGGCTTCTAATTTTCTCCTTACAGTTTCACCCGTGAATCAAATATTAAGGTCATGAGAATAAAGCAAATGATCACCAACTAGGGAAACTCTTGACTGTTAATCAAACTCTCCGTGTCAGCACCTCAGGCAATATAAAGAGAACAGTATGGAGAGTATGCATACTGATGTTTGGGTGTGCAGGGTTAAATACACCAAAGAAACTTTGATGTAATCTTACCCCTCTTCGTCCAGAGCCATAGTTGGTAAATCTTACTCCATCGTTGCCATATTTCACTGAATAACTTGTTACCCACTGGTCGTAATCTTGGCGACCCTGGACCGCAATGGCCACAACCATTGCTCGTTTACCAAGGTCAACCTGTAAAGAACCAGTTTGTTATGTTAGAGAAGCTTAACATCCAGAACATAAGAGGGATTTTCAAGTGCGACGTATCCTGCATTGGTGTCGTTCTCGCAGTTTAGAGTACGTCTAATTGTTTTAAGTAATATACTTAGAGCAACTTTTAATCGAGCATTGGAAGTAATGCCAGATTACAATGGTTTTGCTGAACTTCGCTTTGTGATTGGTCCAAACAACACGCGCCATTCTCTCAACCAATCAGATGCAAAACCAAGGACGCGTTTCCCCGCGCTCTTAAAAATATTTTCCTTTCTTCTGATTGGACGTTGTGATTACTCGGTTTTAGTCTCACGACACGCAAACGAAAAGCGCTCTATCAACTTTTCATTTCGAGACTTCAAAGACTAACCTGTAGCCACTGTCCTCTGATGTTTTTCTTTGCTGACCAAGCTCCACGGAAGTGTCCCTCTCTGCATATATGAAGTCTTCCACGCAGAGCGGCGTGATAACGGTCCCAGAAACTTGAGGCGCTCATGGCACTGTCGCGTATTCTCTTGTCAGCCACACCGAGAGGAAGTCTTGATGCAGCTGCAAATATAAGAAGACCGCATACGCTTTAAAGGAATAATTCAAGAGACTCTCTACCTTCGCTTCCCCCTTCGCAGGCTCGCCGTTATGAGATTTTCCCGTGAAAAAGCGTACAAAAAGTACGGCGAATGCGAATGATTCAAATTTTTTGAACAAACTTCGCCAGTGTACCGATATGAATTGTAGCATATTACTTAACTAAAAGATGTACTAGAGCTAAAATCCTTACAGGTTCTGTGTCCATAGAATTCGGCCCTTAGAGAAATGTGTCCTCTCCAACTGACTGGATGAATTCGGATAAAACGCGCACGGATTGCGGGAGAGAGTCGCCGTCTTACAATCGTGTTTCTATCTCTATTTGCACGGAATATCTGGCAAAAAAGGAAAAAAAAGAACACATGTTAGATCTTAAGTACTATTACAAATAAATCATCTACATAAGGCAGATCTGATTTCTAGAAAGCGGTTACAATAGGTCTGCTCTAGCAAACATGAACCTCTAATCATTATTAAGTTGCAGGTGTCATTTGTAAAAAATACAATTACAACAAAACGCACTCCCTTATACTGCTTGACAATCGTCTATGAGTGACAGTTTTTAAATACAGGAAAAAACCAAATGGTTATTATAGACTAAAACTCGAACAAGAGCAGTGATTTAGGTTTTTTTTTAATCCTAGGAGTGACTTGCGTCTAACTTCTCCTTACAATATCACCCCAGAATCAAACATGAAGGTTGAGAGAATAAAGGAAATGATCACCAACTGAAGAAGCTCTTGATTGTTAAACAAATTCTCCTTGTCAGCACCTTAAGAAATGTATGGAGAACAGTATGGAGAAAGTGCAAACTGATGTTAAGGTGTGGATGGATAAGGAATGACGATCAGGAAGAATTTTGTTGAGACCCACCATCCGTAGGGGACAAGAAGTTTCTATAATTTACCTTCCGACACAAGTAAGGTACAAAGTTAATTCCATCAAAACTGTAGGTCAGGTAGTATCGCGTCACCCATTGGCTGAGATCTTGCCGACCCTGAGTAGCGACAGCCAATATCTTAACAGGTTTCCTGAAGTCCACCCGAATCCATTGGTAAGGATTGTTATGTTTTGCTGACCACGCTCCAATATAGCGACCACGACGAGTGATTTGAAGCCTGCCACGGTTGGGTCCATGGTAACGATCCCATTTGGAGGATGCGCTGATGGCACTGGATGGAATACGACCATTTTTCATTCCTAGGGGTTTGTACTGTTGTGACACT